CCGTGAATCCGTGAAAAAGTCCCCTCTCTGGATGACGCATCGCCAACGCCGAGAACTTAGACAGCTGCGTTGCACAAGTTTTCCGCCTTTGCCTTTCAAGGAACGTTGGTCGCTGAATAGTAAGAATCAATCCTAGGTGGGAATCCTAGACATAATTCTCGGTCCTGATAATCGATCAGCGAATTAGTGAATACTTAACTGAAAGTAAATTAATTCGTATCAGCTGCGCAAACAATGGCGCTTACATGATTGCCCGCGTACTCAAGGTCACTCAGCTCATGGATGTGGCTGGCGAGGCCCCTTTTCCTGGAAATTCACCTGATACCCATGTGGCTCATGGTACGTATTTTTCATAATGCTTTTCTTTTCGTATTTCGTCGCACATGACGTCAATTTGTGCTTGTTTGCTCCTCCTGCTGTAGGCTCTCCCGACTCACCCGCTAACCTAATGGATGCGTCGGCGATCCATGTCACTTTAGAGCCCGACCGCTCCCCTGAATGCGACGAACAGTCAACTGCATTCTGTGACCCGGTAGACACACAGGATACTCGTGAAGAGCCCAACGAATGCATTTCGCCGTCGCACGAGCCGGTTGATTATGAAGCGGGGAAGAAATCAGAGTGTGATCGGACCAACGATAACGACGAGTTTGAGCAGGAGAATGACGAAAAACGCTTATCAGCAACATATCACGATTCTTCAGGGAACGCGGATTCTGAGACCTGTGAATTTGAAAACAAGAGCCTGAGCCACTCTAGAGAGAAAAATACTTGCTCATCAATCGACGATGTTGATCCTTTCGAAGAAACGGTGAGGCCAATTGAAACCCACACCCAACGAAAGGTTGAAATTTCCCCCATTGAATGGGATCGAGTTTCGGACGATGATAGCGAGAACAGAGACGAGCTGCATGTTGATGCACCTGGTGACGAATTTTATAATGAGGAAGAGGACAATGGTGGTGCCATTCCCAACGATAAGGTATCAGCATCGCAAGGCGAACAAACTGGAAAAGGGAAAGAACAGCGATCACCCCCAAAATATAGACATATGTTTAAGTCAGCGAGATATTTCATGATCAAGAGTAACAACTATGAGAACGTGGAAATCGCAAAAACTCGTAATGTGTGGTCGACGACGAAAGGTAACGAAACGCGGCTGAATAAGGCGTTTTTCGATTGTCCAAATGTTTTTTTGATATTCTCTGTGCGTGAGAGTGGGAAATTCCAAGGTTTTGCGCAGATAATTGCATCATCGGATCCGCGAATAAAAGTAAACTGGGTTTTGCCCCCGCGAATGGATATCAATCTCCTGAGCAACCCATTCCGTATCAAATGGATTTCCAAGTAGGTTTCCATTTCCACTCTCTTACCTTTAGGCGCGACCTTCCTTTTTCCAAAGTCAATCACTTGACAAACCCATGGAACGAGAACAAGCCGGTAAAAATAGGAAGAGATGGACAGGTACACAGTCAATTCTTTGTTGTTTTATTTTTCAGGAAATTGAAGGTGTTTGTGGCGAGGCTCTCTGTCGTTTGCTTCTGGAAGACATAACTGAAAGCAGCATCAAACCGGACAATCCACCAGCACGGCGCAATCCTTTCGACCGTCTGGGGCGGACCATATCACACGGAGGTCAGGGAAATTACAGTAACTCTCGTCAGATTGGATCTCCTGGACATGGTTCTACTGGGCTCTTGGGGGATGCTGCCGGGTTTAACCGGTACGCTTCAAACGACAGACGTAACAGATTGAATACATCCACCGTTTCATCTCTGCTTGGAACAGACGCCAGCCGTCTTCTTGGGTCACCTTCACTGATGCAAGTCAACGCAGCTGCTGCAGCTATGGCTGCCGCAGCGGCGATGGCTGCAATAAAATCTTCAAATGGTTCAAACATTGTCACCCTTGGAAGGGCTGGAGCATCCAACGTCGGTTCTACTCTGGGCGCTGCACGTTTACCGCAACCGTTTCCGACTATCTCTGGGTTGTTTCCTCACGTTCCACTGCCTGCTAACTTGGCGCGTATGGTAGCAGGTGATACGAGCACTCAAGCAACCTGTCTCCTTCCGACTGCCCCACAGACCCGCTTGCAGGCACCCGTTCCTGGCTTTCCACCGAATCTGCAAGCCAACTTTACTGACCGTTCCAATTCCGAAGCTTCTGTCACCCTTGGTGGCTCTAGTATACGGAGTCTCAATGTCAAGTCTAGTAAACGCAGAAGCCGATCTCGCTCCAGCAGTCGTAGTGGTGATAGCTTTCCTGGGGAGAAAACGAGGAAGCGTCGTCATATGGAGGATGAATTTCCCCATACCCCCCCATCAGGTTCCAACCAACGCCAAATTCGTTCACCGAGGTTAGGTATTATTGAACAAGCAGCTGAACGGTCAGCATTATCCTGTTCTTTCGTATATAAATCCGTTTGTCTCGTTACACATTTAGTTCCTGTTCGCTGAATCCCCCAACACCCCATATGAACACAGGCAACTTCACCATATCTGAGTTGCTGAATGCAACTTCACCTATCCTACTGAACTGTTGACTCTACTGATAAACGCTTATGAACTGCTGGTGTCGGTAACGTTTTCCAAAGTGATTTAGTGCAATCGTTTTCGTCGATGGATTATTTTTGTTAAGTCCAAACCTTAGTATAACGACTTGGTCCATTGATAGCGTTCATCCTGGTTTCCACGTCTACCTGACTCATCTTTGTACTGTGATGTTTTCATTTATCCGTTCGATGCATAGCACTGGACCCTTAACGCATTTAGTTTCAGCTGTTCAGGAGGAACCAGGTAAACTGTTTTATCATATGATTGCCTTGTGTTCGCCCATTAATATCCTCTTCATTCCCGTCCTGACCGCGTGTCGCACTTTTGCGAACGTTCTATCTAGGCAACGCAGGGACGAGGCAAGACGACGCGATTACGATAGTAAGTCCCTTTTTCTATCGTTAACGTTCAGTCCAAGGTCCTCCAAACTTTTTCTTCCCATCTCCTCTTTGAATATGCACACATCCAATTGACTTAAACCCTTAGTATAGTGAATGAATTTGGACTGGCAGCATATTCGTCAAATCGCACGACAAATGATGACACTTAGCAGCTCATCGGTCATCTTTTTGATGCCATGCTAAAGCCGCCGTTACCACGTGGTGGCATTTCCGTGGGAACTAAACGATGTTCCCTAAAATTTACAATCGGTCCTGGATAAGGGTGAAAGAATCCTGACAAATGCCACTGTCCCCCTAAGGAGCGATACCTCGTAACAGCTAGGCGTTGTTTAGATTGTTTTCTGCGGTTTGAATTATTTGATTCCACTTGCAAATCGGTCATTCGGTGGAGTTCTCGATGTTCAATACCTATTACGCGGGGTAACAGCACTAACGCACCACGGTGGGCTCAAGCGTGGAAGATCAGCAGAGCTAGCGACAGTCGCACTGTTCATCGTAGTCATCCTATCCCTGTCCAGATACAATTTGTTTTGTGTTTGTTGCTCTTATCTGTCATATCGGAATAACTGCTATGGACAGGTTTCGTTACCGGGACTGACGGTCACGAACTCAAGTGCCTTAGAGCTACTGCACACTTCACCCAACCTCAGTAAGTTAAGTGTTTTGGTTGTTACTAGAGAGAACCCATTTGGTGGTATTCGTCTTGTGTAAACGAAAGCACGGGTCCATTGACTTCTCAACTAGGTCGCCGTCATTGTTGCCGAACGGGTCTGGAAAGGCATGTCATCGTTCGTTTGGACAGATTCACTGTCATGTTTGTGGATGGCAGTGGCATATCTCACTGACTGCGAATATACCTGTTTGTTACTCAGAACTCGTCAGGGAGGAATAATTCCGTGTCATTAACTTCACTCCGGGATGTGTAGCCGTCGCGCTTCAGCGCTGAGCTACCATGCCATCCGATGGAAGCACGGGAGCTGAGATAATGCTAGGTTGGCCACGCCTGGACGGTAGCAGAGTTTAAGTCCGAACCAAGGGCCTTCTGGTCGGTAAGTTCGCGCCTTAGTCACTGGGCTATCTCGAGCTCAAGTCATCCCAGGTGTACCCTGAATGATATCTGTGTTTCATATTCAGTCTAAGGTAGATTTGATGAAGTCCCTGTTTAAGAACAGCGATTTGCCAAGATGGCTCAGTAGGTAGAGCGCGAATTTACTGACCGGAAAATCCGTGGTTCGAACCCAACCCTTGCATCTCGGTTGCTCCTTCTAAACTTGTGCTTCCCGGCAGTATCTCAGCCCTCGTGCTTCTTACGGGTGGCATGGCAGCTAACCACCGAAAGGATGCTACAGCTGAACTATTATTCTTATTTAATGTATATTCAATTGCACATTGATATTCGAGGGTCCTGTCCAGCTGATGAGTGTAGTAGTAGGTCGCTGGCGAGATTTAACGATCATCATCATCAAAGACAGCAAAATCAGTGT